GGGACACAAAAAAGGACAGATACAAAGAAAGCAGAAACTGGTGTTTGCTCGACTGGTCAGCGGGCAAAACAAGGCAGGCAGTAGGCAGAAAGAACCCAGGCCAGATAGAACAACCTGCACCAAGCACTTCTGCACAGAAAGAAGCTGAAGCAGCAGCTTCAGCAGAGGGGTGAGCAGCCAGCCAGCCTCACACTGCTGTTACCTGCCAAGCCAGCATGAGCTCCCAACACCTGCATCATCCTCTTCTGCTTAATGTGTGATCACTGCTCAACAATCAGGAAGGGGACCCGGATTCAGCAGTGTTTCTCCAAACATTTTAACAAGTCTGGCTGTATAAGCTCTTCAGACCTAAATGAAAAGGAGCTAAATTTGCTTTTTGATCACATACTTCTGCTTGAGAAATACAGTATAGCACAGAGAGCACAAACTTTTAAGGTCCAGTTGAGTGAGACCCATTAGCAAGGAGATGTGCATTGCTGCAAAAAATACTTCACCAGTGTCAGCAAAGGCATTACATCTTACTGTTAAGTCACTTCTTATTGACAGGAAGCACACAGCCTCCTCTTACTGCCAAAGCCTCATTCAGTGCCAGCAGCCACAGCCAGGCTGCACTGCCGGTTGCCACTCTTCACTATCATCTGGCCTTTTGCTTTACTTTACTGCCAAAAATCTCACCTCTGTGCTAAGACCCACTGTCGCAAGCCACTGCCAACTGCCAGTCCCTACTGGCCACTCTACACTGCCTCATCTCGCAGGGTGCATCTGCACTGCAATCACACAATGACCGGTGCCCACGCAGAGCTGTGGTAGCACTACCTGCAACCCCAGCGCAAACATCTCTGCACCACAGGAGCAGCTGGTCCCTGCTGCTGCGAGGTTAGCTGTGCGATCCCTGAAGTGGGCTGATGGGGCTGTGGCTGAAGAAATGCCCCACAGTTCCCTCCCAGTCCTACTGCTCCTTTCCAGTGCTACCAACACTCAACCTCTCCGTGAAGATACCCTGAGGGAATGAGTGAGAGTCCTGGCAGCATGAGTGATGTTAAAACTACCAATAAAAAGACAGAAATTCCCAAGTGATTAGGAACTGACAAGGGCTGAGGAAATGGCTGAGCTGGGCCAAGCTGAACTGTAATAGTGAGTGGGATTTAGGTGTAAACTGCAGACATCTACAGTGTGGAAGCGATTCATCTCGTCTTGAAGAAGACATCTGCATTTGGTCACATTAACTGCATTGCTACATTACTTCTCTTCCTTCTACTGATTCAGAACATACTCTGCAATATCTAGCTGATGCCTTCAAGTTTGAACAGATATATCTCATGCTGCATTCAGAGGTAGTGTAACCTCTCCTGAGAGGATGAGTGCTTCTGGAGGCTACAGGTCTCCCTGTCAGAATTTGCCATCAATCTCCCACTGTTAATCGTTCTCTTTTAAACTTCTGAACTTTCAGAACTTAAGAAGTCAAGATTATAAAAGGTCACACACTTCAGCTTCAAGAAGCAATTCTGAATGATAACACCAAGCGATTTATTCCAACTGCGTCTACAAAATAATAATCCTTTTTTGATCTTTTGTTAGAATTAATTAGAATTCATTCACAAGGCTTTCCCCTTTGATCTGTAAATCAAATTGTGACCCTGCCAGCAGCCTGTGAAATATTTATTAGCATGAGATTATTATCACAGCCTGATCATTGTCTGGATTATCTGGCAGCACACAAACCAGCATGTTATCGCTGAGAAACTTGGCCACACTGTCTGTCAAAAAACATAATGGTAATTTTTTCTACATCTCATTCTCTGCCCCACTGTGGATTTCTGTTTACCCTCATGTTTTGGTTTGACAGTGCTGTCCCATCTTGACTACCTCTTTAGCTTGCGATAGAGACTTTACCTTGCCAAGCAAGATTACAGAATCGATCTGATTAAATCAAATAATGTTATTATCATGAGGAAAGCTTCAGAAGAGAAAATTACATTATTCATGGACATCATGTTTATTTTAAAAAGGGAGTGACTGATTTACAGCTATTTTTCTACAGGAGCAGGACTCCATGCATATTAAACGTGGAACTAGATATGATTTGGGGGAAAGATATAACATGTCTACAAAAGCATCTGTGCTATGGAAAAGATGGATGGGAGCTGAGCCAAATGCTTTTCCATAACTAGGGACCATCCAATTAAACAGTGCTCAAAACAAACAAAAGAATTTGTTTCTCATATAGCAGGTTATAAACCTGTGGAATTCCTTAATAAAAGATTCTGTGGATGCCAGAATTTTGCACAGTCCCAAGGGGAGAAAAGAAATACACTGAGAATGGGCTCTTTGGAAGTTATTACAACATCACAAACATTCCCCGAGCACAGCTGGAGGCTGAGATGTGCTAAGGAAAAGGCATCAACACACGCTGCCTCATTTTCACATTGCCCTGTTATAGCCGCTCTAGGAGACACAATATGGGACTAGATGGACTCAGTACTGCTGCTCCTATTGTACAGATGTTTACATTGGGCTTCCTCAGAGGTGCATCTTGAGGCTGGTACTACTTCCTCAGGCAAAAACATGAGGAAGTATCCAGAGTCAATATCTCAATAGCAGACAAGGAGAAAGGGCTTAGGCAGGGGAAGAAATAAGGAGAAACAATAGAGATTGGAAAACAAGAAGTAAGCAGCTTGTTTTAAGTAATTGGACAAGCAAAAGAGAGGATTTGAAAAGGAGATTACAAAGCAAGGATTAGGAAAGTAGTCTTTCAGCAACACTTCAACAAGCAGGACAAGACTGTCAACAGAAGAGAAAAGTATGATGAAACAATCACAGTGCTGAAAGTCTAAGCAAAATTCTGCCGTTTCACCATACCAGCTCAGGCTGTCAGTCCTCCTTGCTCAGTATGGTCCCACTGACAGCACAGCAACAGATGCAAAAGGCACACAAGTTTTAAGTTCTTTGTTGTTAAAATGTAAAACCTGTACTTCAGAGGCTTATAAAATGCATGCACAGCCCAAATATGGCAAGAGAGTCTAGCACATCCACCCTGCATCTCAGGTAGGAAACTCCCCTCTGGAGTTCACTGCAGCTCCTCACTGCTCTGCTTCCCACCTTGCCCTGCCCACACTGCTGTCAAGGACGCTGTTGGTGACCAAGAACTCTGCTGAGAGAGTACCTGCTGTACCTGGACAAGGGGGGAGAAGAGTGGTATGTTTTCCCTGTCTTCTGCCCACAAGGCAGATAATGAGTTTTGTCCTCAGGCTGCCTCTGCTGCCACAGAGCAGATGGAGGGTGAGGAATAGGAAAATGTTCTCCTCCCTTCTCACCCTCAGAGCTCTTCATTGCTGTCTGGGCTCCTTCACCAGGGCTGTCGCCATCAGGTCATCCCTCTTGCCACGCTTATTTTATCCCTGCTTGGATGGAAGGACCCCTGCATGGAAGCATTATTTTAAGTTTGCATCCATTACTTAAACTTGAGTAATTAAACTTGAATAACAAACAGGATCTCACTATTGTTCACAGCGAGTGGGGAAATTTCAAGGCAAAGATGAAAATCTCTCCCTCATCATGCAGCGCTGCAGATGACAACTGCAAATCTTCGAGGGGGAAAAAACGTCACCAATATTTGTTAAAGCGTATCTCTGCCTTTCATCTGAGCACTGCTAAATATAAGCACCCAGAACAACCCAAGAAGGAGCCTTGACCTGCAGCGTTTGTCAAGATGCCATCGCTGCCGGCTGCCTTCTGTGGGGCAGCGCGGTCCGGGTTCTGCCCGGGGCCACGAGATGTGCTTCAGTGCCCACCCGGCCCGGGGGCAGCGGGAGCTCCGGGCACGGTGTGAAGGCGCGGGCCTGATTCCCGTGAGGCAGAGCTGAAAGCCGTCCTCCCGAGTCCGGGGCAGGCTCTCTACCCCTCAGGCTGCTCCATCAGCCGTGAGTAACCCGCGTGAGCTTCACCAGGCGAGCAGCTGGCGGGGCTTCTAACGGGAGCGCCTTATCCTGACACGCACCGAGTCGGGAACCTCCAGAGCCGCGTCTGCTCGGATGAAGCTCCAGCTTTCACCGCCCGACCTTCCGACCGCTACCGCGCTGCCACGGCCGCCGCCGCCCGGCTCCGGGCTGCCAGGCGCGATGCGGTCGGCCGAGCCGCAGCCCCGCGGCCCCCGCCCGTTCCCCTCCGCCTCGCCCCTCGCCTCTCGCCCCCCGCCCGCCTCAGCGCCCCGCGCGCCCCCGGAGCGCCTCCGGCGCATGCGCGGTGCCGCCGCGCGGTGCCTCCCGCGGGGACGCGGTCGCGGCGCTGCCCGGGGCCCCGCAACGTGTTGCGCGCCGCTGCCTCCCGCTCGGCGGCTGCGGCCGTTCTCTTTAAAACCTCAAAGGACCTCCGCGCTCCCGCCATCCACTCTGCTTCTCCCCGCAGCCCCTCTCGCACGCCGCTCGGCGCGGACGGGCGCTCCCATGCAGGCGCCAGCCGCCCGCTGCAGCATCGAGTGTCGGCCCCGCGCCCGGAGCGACCGTGTCGCCGCTGGAGGTGCGGGGACCCTTTTCCGGCAGGAAGGTCCGGCGTGAATTGATTTGCAGCTTCCGCCGCTGTTTCTGAGCCGCCGGTTCTGCTCGCCGGCCCCCGGCAGCCGAGAGAGGCGCAGCCGCCAGGTAACGAATGCCCCCTCACCGCCCGCAGCGCGGGGGCTGCTGTGCGGCACGGGGCTGCTGTGCGGCTCGGGGCGCGGTGCGGGGCAGCGCTCGGCCACCGTGCCGTCAGCGGGCAGCTCCGGCGCTCCCGCCTCGTGCCGCGCCGTGCTCCCCGCCGGGGCTGCGCTACCGCGCGGCGCCGCCCGACCCGCCGGCACCGCTCTCGGCGACGAGGGGCGGCGGGGATGGCGAGGCCTGGCCGCGCCGCCGTTACCGCTGCCGCCGTTGTCCCCGCAGGCCGGGAGCCGCCCGCAGCGCAGCACCGCAGCGCGCCGCCCGCCCCGGGGAGGCCCGGCGGTGTGAGGCCGCCCGCCGCCGCCGCTTATGCAACACATCATCGATAACCACCCCGACATGGCCACCGCGCTGCTGGCGGGCGAGAAGCTGAAGGAGCTCATCCTGCCGGGCCAGCAGGATGACAAGGCGGGCGCGCTGGCGGCGCTGCTCCTGCAGCTGAAGCTGGAGCTGCCCTTCGACCGCGTGGTCACCATCGGCACCGTCCTCATCCCCATCCTGCTCGTCACCCTCGTCTTCACCAAGAACTTCGCCGGTAAGGGCGGCGGGACGGGGCGGCCGCGCCCTCGCGGCTGCGGGGTGCGGGGCGGGGCGCGGTTCCCGCCCGAACGGCCGCCGCTCCTCGACGGCGCTGAGAGGCCGCGCCCGAACGGCTGCGGGGAGCGGCGTGCTGCGGCCGGTGGGCAGAGGTCCTATGGAGACTTAACGGTCCCTTGCTGTGCTGAATGGTGATGGCAGAAATCTCCAGCGTGCTTGGCTTTTTTAAGGGCCTACACTTCACACACAGATTCTCGCAGTTCAGGAAGCCCAGTTTGGCTGCCCCACCACACGCAGAGCACAGTCCTTCCTGCCTGGAAGCTGGCTCAGGTGTTGATGAGCCTTGAAAAGTAGTGACCCAGCACATTGCTGTGCGCCTCTCAGGCTGTTAGCAATGTAGGGAGCCATCGCTGCCTTCCTCATGCATCTGCCTGAAGAGCGTGCTTGGCAGCACGTGGCTTGTTTGGTCCCCTGGAGCTTCACATGGAGATCCATGTGAAATTACCAGTGCTTTAATACACAGACTGGCAGTTTGTAGCTTGTATGGTTAGCAGGACTTAGCTAGGTGCAGTCTACCCAAACTCATCTGAATGCAGTCCTTTACATGCTGCTTGGGGGTTGACCTCCAACACACACATCCTTAATACTTGCTTTCATTATAACACTACTTAGAAGAGTAACTGCTTGTGAAAAGCATCTTAGGTGGAGATTTTTCTAGATTATAGCTTAAGCGTTTTGAATTTACTTCATATTTTGAACATACATCTAAATATCTGAAGTCCTTCAGCTACAGTTGATGATAGCCTCATGTTTTTGCATGGTCATCGGGAGGCCTCTTCATGAGACCATGTTTTCAGGAAACTGTGAGCTTGCTGAACACCTGAGAACTGTCCTTCTGCAGTGACTGAGAGGCAGGGAACTGCTGCTTTTGTGGATCCTTAGTGTAGAATGCAGAAGTGCTGGGATCCCTTCCTCTGTTTGGTTTGTAGAAAGGAGACAGTAATAAAAAGGTGTTTGTAAAAGGCATTTAGAGTGCCTGCTTTGTACCTGCCTTTGTAGTGCTGGAGATTTACTGTTCTGGATGTGAGTAGGCCTCGATTTGACCTTGGGAGCAAGAAAGGTCATGCACATTCCCATATGTGCCCTTACTGTTGTGTGAGTTCTCTGACAGAAATCTGTTGATGAATCACTGCTTGTGCAGACAGCAGCAGCTTGATCTCTTTCAACAAATCCCTTCAGGCTGCAGATTGTAGAGGGAGCTGCAAGTCTAAAGGACTCTGAGGTTTGTACAGCACGTGCTCCTCTGCATGTCCACACCGTGGTCCATGCAAGTTTTTGGAAGAGAAGACATCTACTGACTTCACTCATTGCTCACATCTGCCCAAGTTTCTGCGGTTGTGTTTGTTTTATGCTGTGGAAGATTTCTTTCTAAGATGATAGTCATGGTCTTGAATGTTTCAGTTGATTTTTGTTTCAGAAGTGCTAAAAGCAATGTCATTTGTTTCTAGTCACAGACCTTGTGTGCTCACTTGACCCTATAAAAGCATCTGCTTCTTAAGAGCAGACACCTGTTGTGTCTTGCCCAAAGACTTACAAGGCAGCGCAGAAATCTCCTTTATGTCACTGGGACAGTGCTCTTACCTCATGTGATGCCATTTGTTTGTTCATTTGATCTACAGTCAGAAGAATATGAGAAAAAGATACGAGAGCAAGTTGTACAAGCTGCAGGGGGCTGGTGAAACTAGGTTGCTTTTTTGGGCTGTAGTCTAAGAGCTCAGGATTAGTGGATTCAATTCTGCTTCTTCTGAGTTCAGAAGCAAGACTCTTGCTAACTGTAGTGTGACCTGAATCAGATGTTTCAACTCTGTTACCAGAACAGTATTTATTTACTCAGTCTTTTCTGAGTTAAGCTTGTCTGGAGACGTTGAGTGTGATCATAGCAGTAGCCCTGTGACTGTGTGCTTGTTCCTCATTCTGCTGTTAGTGTTATGTTTCACACGTGCACAGCCACTGATCTTTAAAACAAAACAAAACAAAAAAAAAAGTGGAACTTTGTTTCCTTGCTTTGGATATTGCAGTTTATTTAATACATACTAGAAGTGCAAAAATCACTGAGAGAAATGCTGTCTAAAGGTTCCTCTTTGGTTGTTAAGATCATAGCAGCTTTCCAAATCTTTCTTGATGCCCTTCTGGACCTCAGTTATGGCCTCAGAATGGGAAATAAAAAACTAATCTAATCTTTACATCACTTTTTAGAAATTAAATCACAAATTCTGTAATGCATGCACAGGCTGTCCTGAAAAAGAAACAAATATAGCCTTTCTTTGCGCTGCCCAAACTTTCTTTTGTAAGATAAAAGGAAGTCCCTCAGCCAACCACTTACATTATCGTTTCTGAGTCTCTAAATCCTCCGTTACTGTTTTTCCAACAAGCTACTGTGATTCTAGAAAGGAAGCTCTGAGAAAAATAGTTACAATAAATGCATGCGCAGTATTTGTACTGGGCATCATAAGGTCATCCAGGAAAGTAGTGAGCTACCTCATGCAAAGAAAGCCCAAACAAGCACCTATGAAATAGGAGTAAGAATTGTCTCCCTTCTTAAAACATACCAAAGGACAGGCTTCATATACAACCAGGGCACATGATATTTATGGCCTAGCATGTGTTGACCTGAAGGACACCCAAGGAAAGTTTTGGAGGCCTGTATCTCTGAGCAGTGGATGGATTGGTCTGTGAGTGGAACTTGTGTTCCAGAGCAACAGGGCTCTGAGCCCTGCTCAGAAGGGTGCCTGCAGCTGGCAGGGTTGGCTGGGGGAAACCTCTCTGGTAATGTTTTTCTTGTTGAGAGCAGCGGTGCATACAGGTAATAGTCCCAAGGGAATTTACCTGTTTTTCTGTTTTCTTTCATAAACTACGGCTTTAAAGATCAATTTATTCCTTTATACAAATCTGAGTACTGACGTGTTATGGTTTCTGTCAGAATAGTGATGTGACCCCCATTATATTGTGTGTATTTCTAGTACTGGTTACAACACTCCTGCACACACAGTGCTTGGGTTTTGTTCCTTAGAAGTTTGATTTCTCATACCTGATGATTCAGAAGCCTAATTTTTTTTTTTTATTATTATTCCCCAGCATCTTGAACAATTAGTTGTCCCTGTGCAAACTGAAAGTAAAATACAGCTTATAACCTCTGAGTGGAGAGTTTTGATTTGGTAGTCCCACAGTGCCCCAGTGCAGGAATAGATAATCATGCCAGGTACCTGGCAGCAGAAGAGCAAGTTGTAAGCCTGTAAGTGTAGGCTGTCACTTCTTAAAATGTGGAGAATACATAGTAGTAGATAGACTGCAGTGTGCAGTATCTGTTTGATGGGAATCAGTTGTTCCATGGTCTTTTTCATCCTCTACTCTCCTTGGTTTTACCATGGAACTAATTCACATGAGCCACATGGAACTAGCATACACGGTCCAGAGCCACAAGCAGGGAAGCTGTTGGGTATTCAAAGCTACTCTTCGTCAACTTGTGCCATGCTGTGTCCTCTGGCTGGCAGTGATGCTGCTGGCAGTGAATGGTAGCCTTCTACAGTGAAAGGTCCTGAGGCACTCTTCTGTACAGTAGAGGAAGAGATACTTGGCTCTCACTATGAGCTGCTTTGTGTTTAAACACTGATTAAATGTTGTGCTGTGTTGCGCAGCAACACCATCAGTAATGTCTGTGGGACGTTTGCTCTATAAGGGACCCGTAAGAGATGGGCCCCGAAAGAGGATACATTGCTGGTATTGTTGTGTGTTATCTTCACAATATTGAAATATTTTGGTTTCCAAGCTTTAGGATTCATGTTGTCAACTGCAGCTTAGCGATGGCTAAGTCATATCCCTCATGTATAGTGCCTTGTGCTTCCCATACACAGTGAATCATTCTATTATTGCAGTCATGTTTGCTTTTGCTCAGAAGTTCTTCAATACCAATTCTTTATTAAAATAAAGCAAAACAGTCATCCAGTTGATTGCTACACTGCAGTCAGAAGCCAAGCAGTGGCATTGATTTTCTTGCTAGGTTTGTAAATCAGAGCCTGCCAAATACCAGCAAGTCGCTTATGAGTATTTCTATGTGTCTTAGCAGTTACTTAGCTCAGTTACATAGCCCTCTTAGAAAATTCTCACAAGGAAGTCATGGAGGAAGACAATAAGTTAAATGAAGGGTCACTTCAAGTTCTACATTGTATTTTCTGATTTGTAATAATTCTGCATTATCAGTGCCTACTTCACCGTGGCATACAGTGTATGTGTCAGCTCAGTGTTGTTATGCATTTCACCTGTTTGAAATAGTACGTGTTGAGGATTTATGTATTAAAAGATGGAATTTTAATTTGTATTTCTGGTCAACTTCTCTACTTTGTATTTCTGTTACAGACTGTGGGCAACATATTTACACACTCAGTTCCCTGACTTGAGTGTTAGCTGGCTTTTGAGCTTATTTTCCATGTTTACTATTTAAGTGCACATAAAGCCATGCAAAATAATAATAAAAAAAAAAGTGTAAGGCAAAATTGTTTTATATATATTTTTATATAAAATTATATATATTATATAATATATAATATATATATAATATAATATATATCATATATTATAATTATATTTATTATTATATTATATATAATAATATATATATATTTATTTATTATATATTAATATATTAATATATATTATATGTATATAAATATATATTAATATATTATAAATATATTTATTAATGTAAATATATTATATTTATTATATTATATATAATATATTATATATATTAAAATATATTTTATATATTTATATATATATATATATGAGAACGTGGATGCAGAAATTGGTTGTGAGGCAGTAGTAGTAGCAGCAAGAAGAGAATTTAGGCAGTGTCTCAGTATCACCTGTGTTTCAGTGCTTTCTGATTATGTTTTTAAAAAGAACTGGAGTACTACAAGCAACCACAGGCCAACTGTGCTT